TTTATATTCTTCCAATATAACCATTACATTATTTATTGCAGTATTCTGATGAGTGTAATCGAGAATCGAAAAATAATTGATTACTATTCACATGATTTCGGTGATGAGTTTAGCCTTCAACATGAATTATTTTGTCTAACAGTAATCACAAAGCATTTCACACAATATATCCTCTTGATCATGTCCATCAAGCGGAGTAAGATGAGCAGGGATTGAGAGTGGAAAGTGAAAAGCAACCACAATATGACGTTTCTTGTCTATAATGAAACTCATGAAACAGTGGTTCTGTCTATTTAAACAGCTTTATTTCCACTGAATCTTGACATTATAAGGAGGAAATCTAGCTGAGACTATATATCATATACAGTGTTTAGTCATCATCATCATCATCATCATCATCATCATCATCATCATCATCATCATCATCATCATCATCATCATCATCATCATCATCATCATCATCATCATCATCATCATCATCATCATCATCATCATGGTAAAATTGTCGCTCATAATAAATAATACAATGCAAGACAACAAGATAACGAGTACCACTCGAACTGAGATGGACATCTGTCTGTTGCGTTGCTTATGTGCTAGCACATTCCTTTCATTTTCTAGCACCGACCACAAGTGAGTCCGATATTTTCTGAAACATGACTCTTCCATTGAACGACTGTGTCGAATATGCACATGTATCGCTGATCTCCTCTCTCTCTCTCTGGTTTCATCAAGGCATAGATTTACTCTCACATCACTATTGCATCATCACATTTTACACAAGAAGGCAAAATCTCATTGTTTTCTCAATTCATGTACACATAACTTGCTTCATCAGTGAAAAATATTCTTCATATTATTTCTACTTCCTAATAGATGAATCTGAATGTAAGAATAGTATCTGACTTTGTATTTGATTGTTAGACTGATGTATAGAACTTCTTCATGCAAAGTAACACAACAGGTTTACGGGCTTGTGACCGATAAACAGGTCGATTCTCGTAGCAGTAAGATCTCATTTCAATTCGTTTCGTCAACAAAACTTTCAAGTTGCATGAGGTCAACCACAAGTGAAATGAATTTCAATGCAATTCTCATCGATCCCCAATAGGAGAGAAGTGTGTGACTCTTAAAGCTTGGTCAAGTGCCCTGTGGTTTCATCAGGTGTGCATCCCATTGAGTGTTAAATCTGAAAGCGTTAGTGGTAGACTCAAGTAAGAGAGATGCATGAAACTCGAAATGTCGAAAATAAAACATTGAGCTTCAATGCCTTAGTGTTAATTGCAATAATGACAACAACAAATATAACAAGAATTACAACATTCAGATGCGGCGCATTCCTGGTCGAAAACTGCCAAACCATTCACAAAGCAATTCAACAACAACCAGCTGAGTAACCTACAAATAATCTTCAATGCAATCCATCAGCTCACTTCTCACACTAGCAAATTAGCTAGATGACCGTGAATCAGATCAGAGGTCATGAGTACAAAAGTGGTAAACAGCTGGAAGTAGGAAAGACTCATTCACAACAGAGAAATCGTCATTCAAAGAAGCGTGATCGTACGGTCATCAGGATGTTGCTACCAGTACAACATATCAGTGTGTGATGGAAGGAAGATAGACATGCATGATAGATATATTGAACACTGACGATGTCTCGATACTCAACTACCCGCCTTATTGAATGAAGTCGAATTGAAAACTGCCTGCCTCTAATTGTAATCAGTAGACTTTCCACTACGTAACCCGAAGGCTGTTGGTTAGAGCACTCAGTGAATCAAGCACTCTTTCATCTCCAGTTATTAGCCCGTATACACGCGTGAATAACAAATAATTAAGTATTACACTCCGTTCACATTCAAACAAGCCATGCCAGTTTCACATACGACTGAGTGTCTTTTAATTTCATTTTCTAGCAACAACAGTTTGTGAGTCTACCATAATTTTCGGAGTATCAGTGTCAAATCGAATACTTAAAATTATTCATTGATCAACTAGCCTTGTGTTCCACACTGATAGTCTTCTTCCATCCGCTTACCAATCCACCTTTCCGAATGGAATAATGAAGCAATAAGACGTCATAGTTCAGCTTTACAATCTCAACAACTTGCTGATCTCTTTCAGCCTTCAGTAATGTTCATGGTTTATCAAATTGTAATCCGACAAAAATATTATACGCATTTGTTTGTATATATATGAATATATAATATCTGTGTTGACTCAACATGACACATATATTATATTTATCGAGTATAACAGTGATTCTCTAACACTTTCACCTGGATTACCACAATACAGGAAAGCATGCACACTAGTTTTATATAACCACTTTTCAGAGTTTTATATTCTTCCAATATAACCATTACATTATTTATTGCAGTATTCTGATGAGTGTAATCGAGAATCGAAAAATAATTGATTACTATTCACATTATTTCGGTGATGAGTTTAGCCTTCAACATGAATTATTTTGTCTAACAGTAATCACAAAGCATTTCACACAATATATCCTCTTGATCATGTCCATCAAGCGGAGTAAGATGAGCAGGGATTGAGAGTGGAAAGTGAAAAGCAACCACAATATGATGTTTCTTGTCTATAATGAAACTCATGAAACAGTGGTTCTGTCTATTTAAACAGCTTTATTTCCACTGAATCTTGACATTCTAAGGAGGAAATCTAGCTGAGACTATATATCATATACAGTGTTTAGTCATCATCATCATCATCATCATCATCATCATCATCATCATCATCATCATCATCATCATCATCATCATGGTAAAATTGTCGCTCATAATAAATAATACAATGCAAGACAACAAGATAACGAGTACCACTCGAACTGAGATGGACATCTGTCTGTTACGTTGCTTATGTGCTAGCACATTCCTTTCATTTTCTAGCACCGACCACAAGTGAGTCCGATATTTTCTGAAACATGACTCTTCCATTGAACGACTGTGTCGAATATGCACATGTATCGCTGATCTCCTCTCTCTCTCTCTGGTTTCATCAAGGCATAGATTTACTCTCACATCACTATTGCATCATCACATTTTACACAAGAAGGCAAAATCTCATTGTTTTCTCAATTCATGTACACATAACTTGCTTCATCAGTGAAAAATATTCTTCATATTATTTCTACTTCCTAATAGATGAATCTGAATGTAAGAATAGTATCTGACTTTGTATTTGATTGTTAGACTGATGTATAGAACTTCTTCATGCAAAGTAACACAACAGGTTTACGGGCTTGTGACCGATAAACAGGTCGATTCTCGTAGCAGTAAGATCTCATTTCAATTCGTTTCGTCAACAAAACTTTCAAGTTGCATGAGGTCAACCACAAGTGAAATGAATTTCAATGCAATTCTCATCGATCCCCAATAGGAGAGAAGTGTGTGACTCTTAAAGCTTGGTCAAGTGCCCTGTGGTTTCATCAGGTGTGCATCCCATTGAGTGTTAAATCTGAAAGCGTTAGTGGTAGACTCAAGTAAGAGAGATGCATGAAACTCGAAATGTCGAAAATAAAACATTGAGCTTCAATGCCTTAGTGTTAATTGCAATAATGACAACAACAAATATAACAAGAATTACAACATTCAGATGCGGCGCATTCCTGGTCGAAAACTGCCAAACCATTCACAAAGCAATTCAACAACAACCAGCTGAGTAACCTACAAATAATCTTCAATGCAATCCATCAGCTCACTTCTCACACTAGCAAATTAGCTAGATGACCGTGAATCAGATCAGAGGTCATGAGTACAAAAGTGGTAAACAGCTGGAAGTAGGAAAGACTCATTCACAACAGAGAAATCGTCATTCAAAGAAGCGTGATCGTACGGTCATCAGGATGTTGCTACCAGTACAACATATCAGTGTGTGATGGAAGGAAGATAGACATGCATGATAGATATATTGAACACTGACGATGTCTCGATACTCAACTACCCGCCTTATTGAATGAAGTCGAATTGAAAACTGCCTGCCTCTAATTGTAATCAGTAGACTTTCCACTACGTAACCCGAAGGCTGTTGGTTAGAGCACTCAGTGAATCAAGCACTCTTTCATCTCCAGTTATTAGCCCGTATACACGCGTGAATAACAAATAATTAAGTATTACACTCCGTTCACATTCAAACAAGCCATGCCAGTTTCACATACGACTGAGTGTCTTTTAATTTCATTTTCTAGCAACAACAGTTTGTGAGTCTACCATAATTTTCGGAGTATCAGTGTCAAATCGAATACTTAAAATTATTCATTGATCAACTAGCCTTGTGTTCCACACTGATAGTCTTCTTCCATCCGCTTACCAATCCACCTTTCCGAATGGAATAATGAAGCAATAAGACGTCATAGTTCAGCTTTACAATCTCAACAACTTGCTGATCTCTTTCAGCCTTCAGTAATGTTCATGGTTTATCAAATTGTAATCCGACAAAAATATTATACGCATTTGTTTGTATATATATGAATATATAATATCTGTGTTGACTCAACATGACACATATATTATATTTATCGAGTATAACAGTGATTCTCTAACACTTTCACCTGGATTACCACAATACAGGAAAGCATGCACACTAGTTTTATATAACCACTTTTCAGAGTTTTATATTCTTCCAATATAACCATTACATTATTTATTGCAGTATTCTGATGAGTGTAATCGAGAATCGAAAAATAATTGATTACTATTCACATGATTTCGGTGATGAGTTTAGCCTTCAACATGAATTATTTTGTCTAACAGTAATCACAAAGCATTTCACACAATATATCCTCTTGATCATGTCCATCAAGCGGAGTAAGATGAGCAGGGATTGAGAGTGGAAAGTGAAAAGCAACCACAATATGATGTTTCTTGTCTATAATGAAACTCATGAAACAGTGGTTCTGTCTATTTAAACAGCTTTATTTCCACTGAATCTTGACATTATAAGGAGGAAATCTAGCTGAGACTATATATCATATACAGTGTTTAGTCATCATCATCATCATCATCATCATCATCATCATCATCATCATCATCATCATCATCATCATCATCATCATCATCATCATCATCATCATCATCATCATCATCATCATCATCATCATCATCATCATCATCATCATCATCATCATCATCATCATCATCATCATCATCATCATCATCATCATCATCATCATCATCATCATCATCATCATCATCATCATCATCATCATCATCATCATCATCATCATCATCATCATCATCATCATCATCATCATCATCATCATCATCATCATCATCATCATCATCATCATCATCATCATCATCATCATCATCATCATCATCATCATCATCATCATCATCATCATCATCATCATCATCATCATCATCATCATCATCATCATCATCATCATCATCATCATCATCATCATCATCATCATCATGGTAAAATTGTCGCTCATAATAAATAATACAATGCAAGACAACAAGATAACGAGTACCACTCGAACTGAGATGGATATCTGTCTGTTGCGTTGCTTATGTGCTAGCACATTCCTTTCATTTTCTAGCACCGACCACAAGTGAGTCCGATATTTTCTGAAACATGACTCTTCCATTGAACGACTGTGTCGAATATGCACATGTATCGCTGATCTCCTCTCTCTCTCTCTGGTTTCATCAAGGCATAGATTTACTCTCACATCACTATTGCATCATCACATTTTACACAAGAAGGCAAAATCTCATTGTTTTCTCAATTCATGTACACATAACTTGCTTCATCAGTGAAAAATATTCTTCATATTATTTCTACTTCCTAATAGATGAATCTGAATGTAAGAATAGTATCTGACTTTGTATTTGATTGTTAGACTGATGTATAGAACTTCTTCATGCAAAGTAACACAACAGGTTTACGGGCTTGTGACCGATAAACAGGTCGATTCTCGTAGCAGTAAGATCTCATTTCAATTCGTTTCGTCAACAAAACTTTCAAGTTGCATGAGGTCAACCACAAGTGAAATGAATTTCAATGCAATTCTCATCGATCCACATTATAAATTCAAAACATATTGACGATCGGAGAACACACTAGTGACTATTTACTGCTTTGTGATTGCAGCGATCGGCCTCGAATTCGAGTCAAATGGGAAACAACACCACTGAATGAGAGGCAGGCGCAATCACATGCCAACTCTCGAATAGAACGGAACGCGTGTCCTCAATCCCACACCTACCCACCACCCATCAATAATATCAAAACTGAAAGCATCGTATTTCAACTGAAATCCATTGAAGTGTAACACTGATTCATTCACACTGAGCTCTTCGACTAATCTTACATCATTGTCAATCCACAGTTATACCACTGAGATTACACCATTCTCATTCAACCGACGATCTCCTACTCAGATATTATTATTATTATTATTATTATTATTATTATTATTGTTATTCAACTAATTGGCAAGCAACATTTCCAATACTACATCACAAAATGAAATAGGATAATCGAGTAACAGTCTCAACTCGACACAATTACTGACATGAACTGACTAGGAATGAGAATTATCAATCCCCTTGAATGAACTACCTAAATAGAGAAAACTTGAAACAGTTAACAACATTAGCATCACTTTCTTAGTCGTATTCCTCTCAGATAATCGAAGCGAAGGAAGAGATATGGGGAATGGAATGAAGGGAACAGTGTTAACTGCAACAAGTGAAAACCTTCATTTGTATTTCACTAACACTAGCTCATATTTTGCAAATTAAAAATCTAAATATTGACATCTTCAAACATGCTTGTACATTGATTGTTGCACTCAACTGCTAGTGGGAGCAGGTAAGAAATTAAAATTAGATTGTTTAACCGACTGAAAATGTTCTACATGACCATTGATTTACACACATATGTCAAATGAGTTCCCTTCCTAAATTTACTTTGCCAGCCACATTCGCATTATTTCGTGACATCCCTTGCAATTGAATCCATGTTACTGGACACGTAAAATAAAGTATAAGATAAGAGTTTGCAAAATAGAAGGAATCTTAGCTTTCAGTTTATTCACTCGTGCAGTTAGTTATCAAGTACAACAGGTAGACATGACATGCATAATTTCAAGGTTGTTCAAGTTATCGTCTATCCATCTCAGATTCTGCAACACTGTTGGTCAGTTACTCATAAAATAGAGATTGAAACTTGAAAAGTGTCTAACATGTTGTGGTTTTGCAAACTGAATTCCTAATTATTTCCAGATACATTTGATCCTTGGCAACTTGTGCATGTTATCGGGAAATATTATTTTGATATTTATTATTTTTCTTTTGTTCCGATTGCATCACGTGACTTTTTTTTGATGTCTCCTTTTCACTTTATTCTCTGATTTCTTTAGTACCTGGCTCCACATCTACTCTTAGGCTTACATTTTTTCATGACATGTTTTCCTTCATGTCGATGCGTGAGCTTTAGCTTGTCGTTTCATTTTCGGCGTCCACTCAGTCGCTTGATCTTTCGCGATTACCGCTAATATTTCTTCTGAATTCTTGCCAATTCCATTTCCACTTCCTACTGCATATGTTCCGTGCGATAATTTATCGGTTGGTTCATTGCCAGAGACAGTTCCTTGTCGCTTATTTTTTCTGGACATCTTATAATCAGTATCGAGTGAGTGTAGGCGCAGCTGTTAGTTATTTATGTCTGCAGTTTGTTACCAACTCTTTTCGTTAAGTGCCAATTTTCTGAACCATGTAAAAACACTGACTTGACAGTACTGTATTCTTTTTAATATATATCTATTTATTCATAGATGAATATCTATGTAAGTATAGTGTTTGACGTTGTACTTGATTGTTGGAGTAATGTATAAAACTTTTCATGCACAACAACCCAACAGATTTAAGTGCCTACATTTGAAGCCTACACTGCAGCATTCACGTCGGGGTATGATAACATTTTATTTGGTTTCCGAACCAGCTATATTTATCTGCATTTCAAGTTTAGTAATTTGTGCACATTATCAACTATTGTTGCTGTTCTATGGTCAGTTAAACTATGTAATTGAATATATTTTGTGATATTCACAGTGCTTATTCAGTGTTAAAATATTCTTTATGATACTCCTACTTATACATAGATGGATATGAATGTAAGTACAGTGTCTCACGTTGTACTGGATTGTTTGACTGATATATCTACATATAACGTTTCATGCACAATAACCCAACAGATTTAAGTGCCTAAATTCGGAGATGCATGGTTGCAGTTTTGTGATAGTAGGATTATATTTCAATTCTTTACCTAATCAACAATCTCAAAGTGCATTTTGGCAACAACAAATAGTAATTTATATAAGTGAAAAACTTGGGCACTGTGGTAGAATGTAGTTCCATATTAGATTTGTTTATTTGATATAAAGCGCACAGTGATACAGTATTATTTACTTGATTACGTTTCGAGCATAAATTATTGCTCATAATCAAATCAATGTAATCACACTTCTTTCGACATCTGATTTTATAGTCCTGTCACCTAATCTCTCTTTGTTTTTTTGTTTTTTGATTGGTAGTAAAGTTTTCCATATCTCTGGTATAGGTGTTGCGTCATTCCTATTACATGTGTTGGGTGTGGATTCGATGAACAAAGATTCAGTAATTAATCTCTCTCTCCACCTAGCTATATTAGACTTAAGTACAGTGGTTTTGTCCCATCCTATTGTGTGGTTGTGTGTTAATGAATGTAATGCAATGGCTGAGTGTTTTTCTAGGTTATTGATCATAAGTCAAACTAGCCGGTCGGGGTCAGTTAGATTAACAGAACATAGGAATTTAACTAAACATAGAACGACAGACCCCAATAAGATCAATAACCTAGAAAAACACTCAGCCATTGCATTACATTCATTAACACACAACCACACAATAGGATGGGACAAAACCACTGTACTTAAGTCTAATATAGCTAGGTGGAGAGAGAGATTAATTACTGAATCTTTGTTCATCGAATCCACACCCAACACATGTAATAGGAATGACGCAACACCTATACCAGAGATATGGAAAACTTTACTACCAATCGAAAAACAAAAAAACAAAGAGAGATTAGGTGACAGGACTATAAAATCAGATGTCGAAAGAAGTGTGATTACATTGATTTGATTATGAGCAATAATTTATGCTCGAAACGTAATCAAGTAAATAATACTGTATCACTGTGCGCTTTATATCAAATAAACAAATCTAATATGGAAATGGTAATTTCTTATGAATTCTCATCAATGTCCAACGTGAATTCAAAATCTAATGAAAATCACGGAATCCTCAATCTGATGACTATTCTGTGCTTGTTTACAACACATCAGCAGTACACACCTGTTATTACACATGAACTCTAGATCAGAACAGTCAGTTGTAATGACGAACACTTGACCACTAGTCCACCGAGCAGAATTCAATCCTCTACGTATTTTGACAAGATCCAAACAAGCATCAAATATCTGTCTATTGCTACCGGATTCTCAATAACAGTCGTATCAAATCTCATGGATCCCTCTACAAACCACTTGATTACGTGAATAATGCAAGTCTATAGGAAGTCGAAATCATTTCTATCAATCAAGCCATTAACACAAATCTTATTTCATGAAGGAAATGGAGGACACCACTGTAGATGAATGCGATGTATCATGAGACAGATATGGAGTTTCATGATGTGACGTTGGGCAACAGTGGCACTCGAAACGGAAATTTACAAAATAAGCTTTACAATCTTTCCTGCCAATTACTCAACAAACTTAACTAGTCTCAGATACTACAACAAACGGAAATCATCAGTCTCTCCCGATCTGTCGACTGTTCATTAGTAATTATTCTCGTCCTTCTCATGATGAAGTTGAGTGTCTGTAGGTGGAAATAAAACAGAGTAGTTTGTAAAAACAACCTGAAATATTTTGTCGTTGTTCAACTCCTCTTCATTATATTTCCAATACTATCAGATCAAAATGGGGGTAAGGAAGAGATCTGTTGTATTCAGTGAACAACTACTCTGTTCAATATGTTTATTTGAATAATGTGAATGTGTGATTCTACACCGTAATACTCCACTACTCATTGAATCTTCCTTTACACAACCTGACAGGTTCGGTCTGTCAGGGTGGTCCAAACCGCAATCGAGCTGCTGTCCATTCCCACCATCCTCTCAATGATTCGCAAACCA